TGATAAATCAGTAAGAATGGATTATGGACTAAATATAATTTATTATTGTTGGTTCTATAGGAAATTTTTACTTGTCCTCTTATTCGCCGTAATCAATATATATTTGCACCATCGGTCAATGAACCTGATATACTCAATATAACAAATAGTACATACCGATTATGGTTAAATAAAAACTCACGTGATGAATTTCATAAAATACTGCGAACATGTCTTGAAGAATTTCTAATTGTTAAAGATAATGATATTAATCTTTCATCACAACAGCAGAATCAACAAAGATCAAAAACATTGTTAAATGAACTATGTACACAAGAAGATGAGCCTTATTATCGGAATGAGGAGCCATTTGATTGTATTACTTGTATGGAGACAATTGAGAAAGATGAAGGAATCTTATTCCATAATTGTCTTCATCCATTTTGTAAACCATGTCTTTTAAGAATGATTGAAACTAGCACAGAACCAATAATTAAATGTCCACATGACAATTGTACTGCACTTATTACAGAACGAGAACTTCGAGGTGTAAGGATTAAACATATTTGTTGAGAATTTTCTCAAGGTTGTCCTATATTTCAGGTAGCTAAAGATTTAAAAACTGATCAAAAAGTAGTCGGCCGGCTGAATGATATTGGTGTACGTTTTGCTGAAAGTCGTAATAAAACATTTCATTGTATTACACCTGATTGTACTCATTGGTGGTTCATAGAACCAGAAGAAGCTAACAATATGATATTTTGTAATGTAATTATTTTCTTTTGTCATAAAGAGAAATATTTTCAAATGTTGAGGATAAGCATAAAAATAAGAATGAATCTTCCATTCTTTTTCTAACAGTATATAAAAAACTTAACATTATTTCATTGTATAGTTTAAGTCAAAGATGAATTCTTTTTAAATTTCTTTTGAGAATTCATCAATTCATTTGTCATAGGGTTGTAAACACTGGATTTGCATAACGTGTTCGTCAATACACGAAGGTCAAACCTGTAAGTGTAAACAGTTCGAAACAAGTCTATTCGTTTATTTCCTATGTAGGTCGTGAATATCAAGATGCAAAGTTGCGAGAGATGAATGAAAGTAATGTTCGTACAGATGAAGAACAATTAGAGGTAAACAGAAAAATAAAATCATAAAATTTATAACTTGTTTTTTTTTTGGTTTTGTATAAAGGCAATGATTAAAAATAAAGAAGTTATGTATTGGTATGAATTATTTCGTATCAAATAAATTTACAGTGCTCATTAGAATGTAACATTTTGTTTTGTTCATTAGTCCTGGTTGTCGTATTATAATCCAAAAAATATCTGGTTGTGATTGGATTCAATGTAGTCAATGCAAAATAGAAATTTGCGTTAGTTAAATTATCGTTGTCTGTAACATTGTACAATTTTTTTGTTTATTCTTTTGATTAGTGGCCAACACAAGGTCCTCGTTGGGGTCCGAAAGGACACGGTGATACGTCAGGAGGCTGTCGATGTCGTGTTGATAATGGCAAACTTTGTGTACCAAATTGTCAAAACTGTCATTAACAGATTACTTCCGTCTAATAAAACTTAGTCATGTTCATTTTACACTATTTTTAATCAAGGTTTCTATTGGATATAGTCGATTTGAAAATGATTAATCAATATTATAATACTGATAATAAATTCCAAAATACCTTTAAGTAAATAAAATAATACTTAATCAAGATTATTCATAATGATTGCATTATAGAAATATTTCGATTCACATATGACAACAAAACTAATTGCTATAAATATCCAATACACGGCATATTTATAATTAACAATATCATCTTTAAAATCGTAAAGATATTCATTTTCTTTATAAACATTTCGTCAGAGTTAAAATTATTAGAAATCAAAACAATATATCTTTGTCTTAACGCATAATCAACTACATGCACTTTGCCATTTTTATTCCAAATTATGCACGTTTGAGTACTTTCAATCAAAGACCTTATCTTTAGATCAAAGTCGACATTCTTTCGTTTATTACTTACGAAGGAACTATCCTAACTGATACTCTCTGTTTAACCTCATACTGAGTTCACAAGGAGGTCTCGATAAGACTAGAAAAATCCTAAACAAGATTCGTACCCATGGGACTCTGGAATCAAGTTATGATTATTTTACTGTATTTTCGATCCAACTTTAAGTATTTACCGAAAAATTAAATAACGATATTTCGATCTGAAATTTCGCTCGTAAACAAATCAAATGACTAGTGGAATATCTTGAAAGTGTCAGCCGAGAGAGTATTTCGTTGTCGAGATAACAATGGAACATTTTTTCCTACTGAAACTTTTAGGATATTCCTAGAGTCATCAGACTTATCTATTGGCAACATTTTAGATCGAAATACGGCTATTTGATTTTTCGGTAAATACTTAAAATAATGTGTCCCCAATGAAAAAATCAAGAATTTATAATTGGTTTCTCAAAATTTTCGTATTTGATTTTTGCTTCAGGGATACGTTATTTTAAGAAAAAACCGATTTTTTTTATAAAGTTTGATTAAAGGTTTTCGGAGTCGAGGAATCCGAATCCGTTCTCGATTTTTCAAAATATTGAGTTTGACGTGAGGGACTAGCAGCTTCTTTCCCTCATACACCAATACCAGTCAATACCAATTGGTATTGTTACATCCCTAATTGTCAATAAGGGTGAGGGTGTCTTCACTGTACTCGAAATAGTTTTCAGTAAATACATGCAAGTCAAGACTTAAATGCACAAGGTGATAGAGAATTCCGAGCGCTATCAAAATATATAATTACTTTCCTTAAAATGTAGTTTTACATTAGCAATATAATTCCACTGATTCAAATGTGCAGAACTTATGTTTCAACCTAATAAAAACAAATTTCAATAATCGATTTTGACATTACGAAAGTAATTTCACACTATCAAATTAAAGTAAAATAGATTCATCAGTGATTCATGTAAAAGGTAACATTTTGATTAGCACTAAAGAAAACATATTTTTAATTTAAATTTTCATAAGAAATAATCACCATTTGTAAAATCTTTCAGATTTAACTGAAATACTATAGCTATTTTCATTTTAATTTATGCAGTCAAAGAGTGATTACAAGTGAATACTTATCATCTGAAAAAAAAATAATAACTGAAAACTTCCCAATAATGAGCATCTCTATAAACTGAGCAATTTCAATCAGTCCCGATGATGCTCACATTATAGAGGTTCTACTCTATTTTCAAATATAAATATTTGGTTGTGTGCGGCAAAAAATTTAAAGCTGAGAATTTGACAAATTTGTAAATAATTGTTTTTGAAATATTAGACAAAAATATTATTCACTATTTGATCTATTAGATTTGCTCTTTTTTTTTCCTATTTTTCATTGTTAATCTATGTAAGAATTTATTTTATGAAGGACTCGAAATGTGTTGAGTATCTTAGATTTGAACTTCAAGCAGATTTGATCTAATTAAACATCCGTTTAACTTATTCGTTCAACTACTGACTTGTTGTCAAACAATACACCTAAAACGAAATGTGATTGCAAAGTTTAGTTTATTCTCAGTCTTTTATGCTGATTCCGACTATCATATTAATTTTGACTAAAATTGAATTTTTCTTAATCGAAATCTTGTAAATATTGTCAAAAAAGACACAAAACTGCATCTTGAGAATAGTATACTTAGGAACTTTTTAAAGTGACCTGATTTTTTTGACTTTAAATAATATATGACTTTGCAACTGCTTACAAGGAATATCAAATGAGCAATATTAAAACTTTGATCATTTCAATTTTTCAACTGAAATATTTGTTGAAAGATAAAGATAGATGATAAATACAGCATATATACTAATGGTGTCTACCAGTACATTAAACCTCTATCTCGTTAAATTACACAATCAATTGGTGATTTATACATGGGATCGAAGCCTAATCAAACAATTATCCAGTTCATAATTTCATTAGTATTTTGTATTGTCTACATATTCTTAAATTGAATCCACCGTGATAGAATGGATTATTAATTACGATAATGACAAAACATATATTACTTTATTGATAACTTTTTGGTTTCAAAAAGTTGATCAAAACCTCATGAGAGTAGTACAAAAACGTTAGTCTCAATATACTCTTTCTATTGACATATGATTCAATGAAATTGGCCACGAAAATTACTAGGAAGCCGATTTGACCTCTTGTACCGTCTCCTTCGATATGGTTTTTACCTTCTATACATTCAAATCCAATATTATTCAAAATTGAATCTTAAAATTTCGTTAAATAGTTCGAAAATTTATTATTGTTATTTTTCATATAGGACATTTCACATTTTCTTTGATAAAACTTTGGTGTGGATCGAATGATTTATTAACGAAAATGTCATGTCATGTGTTTTCTTTTCACTATTATGTTGGTATTTATTTTTTCATCTATTTTTTTCCTGTACATACAATGAACATAAACAATTAAATAGCTCATCTTTATTGAAGATAGTGCAGAAAAAGAAGGATCATATTGTGTATAAGAAAAACAATCGTGTTAGTGGAATAAATAATTGAATTTAAATTCTAACTTAATCGATAATATTTATTCTTGTTTGTTTACTTATTGTTCCTTCAATTGATTAGAATCATGTTTATCAAAATAGATTAATTTCTATTATTTCAATTTATTATAAAATCGAATTCTAACATTTTGAACAAAATCTACATTCTTAGATATAAAAATTTAGTTTAGAAATAGAAAATTTCTCTTTAAATTGATTTTGTGCTTGACAAATACATGTATAAGCATTCAAAATCAATTAATTTCGCTGATGTTTTTCAATATATAATTTTGTCCTACTTGATCATCATGTGATAGATTCATTATAGTTTGCCTGAAATAAACAAAAGGTATTGTATACTTTTAATCAGGACATCAAATTCTATTAGCTATCGAATGTTTTCATATTTCTCTATTATAATTTCAAATTAAAAACAAAGCCTTATATTAATTGAGAAGTACAATGTCAAAAGAAAATATCAGTAGGTTATTTTCGAAAATGAATTCTTTCATCATTGCACGATTGAAAGACAATGTTTTATTACAAAAAAAATGGAATATTAGTTATTACAGGAAAAAAAAAAGAAAACAATAAAATCCGCCCACAGAATTTTTTTTTTTTATTATTTTCAATCAACCAGCATACAATCATAGCAATGCATGTGCATTATTTATAAGTCCGTTGTCAAATAAGAAAATGAAACATATGAAACCATAGTTGTTCTATGCAATTAAAAAGTTCCTTCGACACAATACTTTATTGAATTATTATTTTGTATGTGTTCAAATAAATAACACACAATACAGTCAACTGTTGTTTTATTTCAAAAGAAAAAAAAAAAAGAACAATACATTAAAGCATGTAAGTGAATATCGTGTCTTTTTTAAATAAATTACATATTCTTACTTTATATTTAGGGCTATAGCACCTGCTCGTGTTCAAACTCAACAACCACAATCTTATTTTCGTCCAATAAATAATAGTTTTAACCTATTACCTAGTGAAAAAGTCTATCGTGAATGGGAATATCGTGATAATCTAGGTTGTTGTAATAATGCATATTATACTGCCCTGACGGATATTCGACTTCTTACTCGATATGAAGAACATATGTGTTGTACAAATTGTTCTGAACCTTCACATACAGATTCGGCTATTTTCTTACGTGATATTGATCAAATGCGTGAATCACGTGGTGAACAACCAACTTTTTTCTTTCTTCTTTGGATAACATTAATATGTGCATGGCCTTGTTATGTTGTACGTCGTATCTTTTGTCCAAAACCAAAATGTTTGGAAATTTTCGGTTCATTTGGTTCTGAAATGGTACGAGTTAAAAGAGAAGATATGCCAGTAGCTCAAGTCGATATATCAACAGCTGTTATAAATAGCAAATTGGTTGGTCGATCTTAATGAATCAATTCACTACCTTTGACTTTTGTTTTTATTTATAGTTTACAAAAAACAAACAAAAAAAAACTTAACAGTTTTTATCGCAAACTTAAAAGTAACTTAATTAACAGAAAATATATTGAAAGCAATGATGCGATGATTGATGTCAAATTAATTCATGTGAAAAGTTTTCAAATGCTAGTATTTGCTGCGTATACTTATAAGCAAATTATTTGTCGAATGTAATATTGACAGCAGTGTTCAAAGAATGAGATATTGAAATTGTTATTTCAATTTCTCTTATAACTCTCTAATTATAGAAATTTAGAATAATATTTGCTCGCTAGTATATTCTCTGTATTTATCAATATAGTTTAAGGCAATGTGAAGAATAGAAAATGGAAGATTTTGACTTTTTTTTAGAAAGTCTACAAATGTAGCATAGTCACAAGTCAATATTTCAGATTTTTCGAAATTCTTTAAAGTTTTTGATAATAATTTCTTATTCATTTAGAGATTTCTATTTTCTAAATGTTGATCTACTCATTCTGTGATAAAGATAATATTAACACATTGAACACTAACCGATCCAATAGGTGAATGGTGCAGTCCATCGATGGATCATACTCCTGCCAATGTATTAACCACTTTCTGATTTCACCATTGAGTGGTTCTTAGTTCATTGTCTATCCTCTGTAAAAATCAGCTTCGTAAATTCATGTTCTGCATTTTAACAAAATTTTCTCGTCGAAATTACTCTTTTTTTCGTGTTAAAATGATGTGCATTTCTACTTATTTCTTGATTCATCTCATTTCTATTATCATATGAATTCTTTTTCAATGTATACCATTCGATAGAAAAAAAAACATCCTACAAGATGATGTACTTTTTAACGAAAACACATCTTGAAAAAGATCTGAATTTCAACAAGTACTCATGTGCTGGTGCAGATCTTCAATAAATCTTGTTTTTCTCCACCATTATGAGATCAAAACTGGCTTTCGAATATGTCATCGAAAAGAGCGTTGAAAACTGAACCAGACTGACTATTTGAATGATTCTTAAAAAGGATATGTTACATAGGAGGCGATTTGACTACGACGATCGGCCACACTGGGATCCACCGGTGGATCCTATCGTGGTGAATGTGTTCAATTAAAAAATAGAATTGATAAACTCAACAACTTCTGTAGTTTTTGAATTACAACCAGTTATATTATAAAGAGAAATCACAAACATGATTTCTCTTATTCATACTGATAGCACTTTTATCAATATAACATGCGATGTAAAAGTCTTCGTAAAAATGTCGAATTCTTCTAAACTATATTACTAATTTCTAAACCAATCAAATTCTTTCTTTTTGTCGGAAAGAGCAATGTCTTAACTACAAATTCTATATTGCATATGTATATTGTTGCAGAATGAATTGAAAATGGAGTAAAAGACAAAAAAATCAAATAGTTCGAAGAGAAATTCTTGCAATTGCGTCATTGAGTAATATCGTTTTCTAGTGTGTGGAAAGTAAATGTGTATGTCAATCTTTTCTTCACTAACATCGACATCTTTATCGAATATATTACTATTTGTTCCAATTTTATTACTCATCAATTGATCACTTATTAAAGATAAAACACTAGATAAATCATTTTAAAAAAATAAATAAAACGAAACGCTCATTGTGAATTTATTATAATTCATTTTTTGTTATTACAATAAATATATTAGAACAAATACCATATAAGCCATTGAACACAAAAAATGAAAACTAACTAAACAAATATATAAATGAGACAATTACGAAATCCACAAAATAATCAAGAATACGACATATTCATGTGAAATATATATCGATTAATTTAGACATGGACACCTTTTATTTGAATTAAAGGTAAGATACTAGTAGTAATAAAAGGACACTCGTGTATGATAATCTTTCATTCATATGTAAACGATCTACAAATTCTGAAAGTTTTATACGATTTGGAAATAGTCGATGTAAATGTGGTTGAGATCGCATGGAAATGTTCACTACTGAATTTTAATAGTAGAGCTCATATTTAGAGGTATGTACAGTAATGATCTTAAAGCATGAATCTGGCCATAATGCAATTCTTTAACACAATCACATTATTTTCTTTCTATAACGTCATTAGTTTTACGATATAATCTCAATATATTAAAAACAGACTGAATTGTACAATTAATGAAAGGAACTATTTGATTTAGACTTATATATTGATCTAAACGTTAGAAAAAAGTACATCATCAATTGCCAACACTTAAATGGCTGTGAACGTCAGTGATGTTACACTGTGACGCTAAATAAACATCAAGATATTCCGTCTAGTCCCATTGATTTAGGACATCTGCCCGTATAGCAGAAGGTGTATAGTTCAAATCCTATGAATGGCATATGTTTCCTTACGCTGCAGTCTCTAATGACTCACATATGAAGTTTAAGATGACGGTATACATAAATTTGGCAGAATGGGAAAAGCTCGAAAGTAAAAAATATCGAAAATGATACTCTTCAATTTGAGCACACACTATTCATGTGAAGATGCACGACATAGATGCCCCTATAGATTGTCGGTGAAAGAATATGTTTCAGGTCTATTTATAGTATTTTCGATATTTTTACTTTCGGTGCTTTTTCTTTCTACCAAATTTATACCATTCAAAATGACTACCCACTGTTCATGTGTAAATCATACTGAATACAAGAAAAAAAATGAATGTAAATATGGTTCATTCACATGTTGATGACATGATCTGTAAAATCGGTTGTATTCCAGTGAAATACATTCTTGAGAGAGCAATACAATGACAAAACAAAATTATAGAATGTACATGGGAAATACAAAATTTGTAGAGAAAAACGATAAAAGCAGCTACCAGATAGTAAAAAAACAATAGAGGGCAGTCTATTACTGCTAACATCCCAGTTGTTTACTTTTGGCGTTCCTTCTTTATCTGCTCAATGGTTAATATACCTGTTCTCTGGATATTCCAGTAATTACCTTCTCATCCTGCGATTTTGCCAGCTCTGGCTATTTTTCTCTTCGTGGTGATATTGCTTACCCATTTTTTCTCTATTCTTATCTTTTTTCACTATTGATATTATCTCTCATCTTTCTATTATTATTATATTTTCTTGGTTTTATTAATATAAATAAAACCTTATTGCATTCCCATCAACATTCTCTTATCAATATATCAATACACGGTAAGCATGTTTTATTTATTTTATGTGAGACACTCCGCATTCCCGTAGCAGACCCGAACTAGATATAACCATCTGTGGCCCAAACGTTATTGTTGACAAGAGTAATAGACAATTAAACAATCGAGAGTCTCACCAGAAGTAAATTCAAGATAAGAATTAATATGTAGTCTAATAGAGAATTTCAAGTTTTATCAAAATATATAATTAATTTTTGAAAAAGTTATTTTTATAGTAATGATAAATTTAAAAATCTAATTGAGAAGACAGTGACAACATTCAGTCCATGTGATTATGATAATGAGAGTATTTTCAATGCAGTCGATTTATTTTTCAGGAAATAGATGCAATTCAAAGTATAAATATAGACAGTCATATAAAACTCCGGGCACTCACAGTCTATATAATAATCCTTTTTTCAAAAAATATGTTCTTATAATGATCATAATGATATGTAAGAAATCGACTAATATTTTTTTTTGAGGGTCTTATTCACATGCATCGTTCTTTGTATTACATAGTTATCTATTTGCACGTTGCTAATGTCTTTCACCTTGTTTCTTTCATTCAATGCGCCACATACTTTTGCCTTTTCTTGTTCTTGTTCTCTCCCTTACATCACCTTTGCTATATGTACGATTCGTACGTCAGCTCACGCAACTTGGTGAGCATGTGACAGAAAGAAATAAAACACGCATACCTATATATATAGGGAGGTATACAACTTATTTAGCATTACATTTTTGACAACGAACATACAATGGCTCATCAGCGTTTGGTAACTGTAGTTGGAGCTACGGGTGCACAAGGAGGTGCCATTGTACGATCATTGGTTGAAGCGAACAAATACAAGGTAAATATGTTAATGTATGTTGTTATTCTGTAATCACAATTGTTCGTCTTCAAAAGATTCGTGGTTTAACACGTGATGCAACAAGTGAAAAAGCTCAGGCAGTTAAACGTTTAAGTGATCAGATTGAGATGGTCTCATGTGATATCAACAAGAGGGATGATGTTCAACGGGCATTTAAAGATTCATGGGCTGTCTTTGCTTTAACAGACTTTTGGGCACAACCTGATCAACCTGAGCTTGAAATTCAACAGGGTAAACTAATGGCAGATGTTGCTGCTTCTCTTCAAATTCCATATTACATATATAGTGCTCTTGAAGACACTACGAAATTGAGCAGTGAAAAATAGTAAGTTTTCTTATAAATTACTTTCTTGTAGTATACGTTTCAATATATACTTTTAAGTTATGTACCACACTTTGCAAACAAAGCTCAGGTACGTGATTACATCAAGGAAAAACATCCAACGTTGAAAGCAATCTATGTCGAGCCCGGATTTTATATGCAAAATTGGTTAGGTTTTTTCAAAGCACAGAAATCAGCTGATGGTACGGTTGTTTTTGCAGCGCCCATCAACGAAAAAACGAAATTGCATATGGTGGACATCGAAGATACTGGTCCCGTTGTTCGTAAGATTTTGGACGATCCCGACAAATATGTTGGTCAAGATATTTGCATTTGTGGTGAAGCTATTCCATTTGGCGATATTCCAAAAGTTTTCACTAAAGCTACTGGTGTTCCGGCTATATCAAAAACATTGACGGAAGAAGAATTTCGATCGGGAGTTCACTACATGCCGAAACCTGTACAAGATGAAATATTTGCTATGTTTCAATGGTTCGACGAATACGGCTATTATGGCAAAGATAAAGATTGGACATCTGGACAAAAGTTAACAGCATTAAATACATTCGAACAATGGATAAAAAAAACTGGCTGGAAAGGTTAAAAGTTGGTCACGACGATATTTTGCCACTAGAAATAAACAATGCTTATTCATTTTGATTACTTAGTGTAGCTTCTTTCTATCGTATTAAATGATACATTTATGAATCTAGAAAGATTGGATTTTGAATTCTTATAATAAACTTTCTTCTGAAATTATTTCTTTAGATATTACAAATAGAATAAGAAACAATCAATAACGTAGTAGCACCTTCTGATAGAAGATTCAAATGAAATTTGAGGATTAAAGGTGGATGAAAGCGTAGCTGAAGAAAAGATCATATATTCAATCTCATTCTCACACCACATAATTATTAGAGCTCGGCAGTTCCCAGAAGTGTCCGAAGTCGGAACTGAAATTGTTGATCCAATTCCCATTTCCATTAGTAAGAATGGAGAGAAGACAGTTCCAATTTTGATTTCTAAAAAGTGTCTTTGTCACCGTTAATTTAGTCATGGTATAGAATATAACTAATATTTGTTCTCTAGAAATATCTTTAAACTCACGATGAAGATATTGTCAGTTTTAAAAATGTGTCACTTGCATCAAAATTTCACTTAGATGTCAAATGTTTTCATTTGTTAATCAAGAAACAGTCATTTTAATGAATATGCAAAAAACACAAAAACAAACTACAACAGTAAAAATTGTTTTGCACTTCTTTTCTAGAGACAAGTAAATACGTCATTTCTTTTCTTTTCATGAAGATTTTCATTCGGTACAGAAAACAAATGAAAAATTTATTCATATCGAATTCATACAAGAGTGACGTTATATAGAAGACTCTATGAGCCAAAGCCAGAGTCAATATCTATAAATTGAATTTTTCTTGTGCATGGTGAATTCTATAGATTGTTCGTTCTTCCATTGAATGTTATAATTCAAAGAATAGTACCATCATTCACTGACCTATAAAGAAATAGCAAAGTTTTAATAGTCAGGTGATCAAAACTACGCATGTTCTATAAATATTGTTTTGATAAAATCTTTCTATGTCCTTTGTTAACTTCCATCAGTAATTCAAGGTTCAAACGGACAGTGTGAATAGAGAAATTCTGTTTTTTTTTCAACAATATAATTAAATTATTATTGTCAAGGTAATAGTTCATCTCAAGAAATAGAGTCTTCAAAGGTTTATCACTATTTGAACATTTAGCTTTAAAAAAACTACTGTTGATGATGTTGTACTGACGTGGAATCAAATTCTTCTCATAACTTTCTTTCATTACATTGTTTTCTCTATTGATTCGCATGGGTACTGATCGGTTTATACTTGCAATTTCAGAAAACTGAAATAGATGAAAGATGATGGAGAAGATCTCTTAGAGTACCTCTTATGAAAAACATTCCTCTCTTCTAGTTGTCCTTCCTTTGCTTGAATCATTCAGTTCAATCCCTTTCCACCAAAAAACATCGAGAGAATCATTGTAGAAAAAATATTGAAATGGACTCAGACTAGTGCATCACTACTGTTTTGCTCGAGCAAAGAATCTTCTTTGAATTGCAAATGAAACGTTCATTGAAGCCAATGTGTAAGAATAGATCATGAAAACATTAGAATGGATTGACAAGATGGAACTTAGTTTGTCCCGTTTTATTTTACAAAGATGTATTTTATGGAAATTCATTCTCATGAGTAAAAATATAACCACTTGGGTTGCTGTCTTTGTATCAAATGTGAATAATTGACATAAAAAGCGTCGCTTTCTTCTTCTCGGTCACCATTTTTTTTTGTCCTCTCTTTTTTCCTTTTTCTTTCTATGTCCTTCGTCTTTTATATTTCCTTTCGGCGGTATTCTTATCTTTTCTTTCATTGTAATCTTTTTATTCTTTAGTAAAAACATACTCTAGTACATGTATGCTTTAATCGTACGCATACCATCTGCGAAGACAAAAAACTGTGTATGCTTATCATTTTTTCTTTGTATGCCTTTCGTGTTTAAAAATAAATCAAGCACGCTCAAAAAAATATGAAGATAATCTATGCTATGTTTTTTTTTCTCTCATAACATCGAGACACAACTGTCATTCCTTTCATTCATTATTATCTTTGTTACACATAGAATATAAACCGTTTTTATTCTTTCGCAAGAACAACATAAAATTGCGACAGATAGAATATATATCTTTCTTTTTGTCTTTTGCAAGAACAAAATAGAATTGCGACGCATCACTGCAAAGTAAATATAAAAAGATATTAGTCCTAATTATTTTACATACTTGTGCTATGGCTACTATCATCAAACAGAAGTCTATTATTATCAAATGTTCGAATCCATCGAAAAACGTTGAGTCTATAACATGTATGGCACTTGAATCAAGTGCAAAACCATTTCTTGTCAGTATGATTTGGATCTATTCGAATACTGCAAATCTATCAAAAGACGATTTTATGCCGTCCGATCAATTACAAATTACTCTGGCGGATACTCTCAATTATTTTCCTATACTAGCTGGTCGTGCTACAGAAGATACGAAAGGCAATGTTACCATGCATTTGACAAATGAAGGTGTTCTCTACACTGAAGCAGAATGTCCGAATCAAACCTTAGACTATTTTATACCACGAACGTTTCTAGACGAAGGATTTGATTATGAACATATCAATATGAGTGATTTAGATGTAAAAGTAAAAACCGATTGGACAGGACCTTGCATGTCGATACAAGTGACGCGTCTCAAGTGTAATAGCGTTATTCTAAGTATATCAGCTTCTCATTGTTTAACGGATGCAGCAAGCATGTCACATTTCATTAATATATGGGCTTCTGGTGAACCATCACAAAAGATGCCAATGTTCGACAAAACTTTCATCTTATATCCTACTGAACAACAACAACAACAACGGATAAATTCTCTGACTCGACCAAAAAACTGTGCTTTCAATCGAAATATCAATCCATCATCTGATACACCATTCATTGAAGCACAATCACAACGTGTAATTTCTAAAGTTTATTTTTTCTCTGTCGACGAGTTAAATAATCTTAAAAAAGAAGCATCAAAAGACATATCAAAATTAGTTGATTACATCAGCACCTACGACGCTCTTTATGCTCATATGATTTTAGTGATTGCAGCAGCCACTCAAACTTCATTGACTGATAATATTAAAATTCTACTATCGCTCAACGGTCGATCAAGATTCGTTTCTTGTTGTTCACCAGCCGTTCTCAACTACTTTGGTTCATTTCCGTTTTGGCTCTATGGTGAAATACCATCAGATCGGGAGCCAACTCTTTCATCATTAGCAGAACTAATTCATGAAATGTATTCAAAACAAACGGAACATACGTTGAGAGAATATAATGCTTATTTAATGAGTGGTAATGGTGATACAAACAAAAATCGAGCAGATGGAGACTTAATTAATCATGATTTTTATTGTTCATCATGGCGAAAAGAAAATCTGTTGAATGCTAATTTTGGTAAGAGTGGATTTCCTATCTACAGTGGACCAAGTGATCACCTATATCCACGATATTTTGCAATGATGGATACATATGCAAGAGATGAATCAGTTAATATTATACTAGGATTGAGAGAGCAAGATTATGAACGAATGATACAACAAAATATGCTACATAAATATCGATAATTCTTTTTTTTTTTGAAAACATTCTAAATATTTTTGTCTGATCAATGATTAATTGTTAACTTAAAAATTCATTTAAAAATAAACAATTTATAAACGAACATTCCCAAGTGTTGGAGTACTTTTGAGTTGGAACTTAGTGCATCTTGTAGATCTTAGTGAACTATGGTTATCATAAAAAATGTTCGTGTCCATGACTTATTTCTAAGGAGATCGAACGTTTTTACTATAACAGTTATAAGAGTCATTTTATCCGAGAAAAATGACTATCTCAAACAATACAAGTTAAAATGAGTTAAGATTTTTTCTCACATATAGTCATACTCATGTGGGAGATCATGTAACATTATGAACCCAAAAGTGCTTAGAAAAGCAGACCTATCGATTTTAGAAAATATTAATGTGGATCTAAACGTCAATTATTCTGTTACTTCTTAGAATTACGAGATATACGATTGAAAATTTTTAGTATATTGAGTACTTATATCACAATACAGTTTTGAATGCTTGATAAATGTGGTTTTCTAGGATAATATATTCATTTTTTTCTTAGGCTAAATTGTATAGACTATTATGAAAGTGATAATTGAAGAAAAAATGCTGAAAGTAAAAATGATTTCTGCACCAACTGCAGCAGATGAATGGAGAGGATTTACAATAGTCGCCATTGTATGTAACGTTACGAAAAGTGAATCGAAATTGTATAAGCTCTCAATACACTAAAACTTTGAATCGTGTATATCTCATAATCCTAAGAAGTAACATAATAATAATTGACATTTAGAATCATGTTAACGTTTTCTAAAATCGATAGCTCTGCTTTTCTGTGCTATTTCATGCTCATAATGCGCGCCAATACTTGAGAATCTTCCTTTGTTAGTTAGATTTAAGCTCGACATGTCTATGAGCCATAATGATGGGATGAAGATTAGAAAATACAGCAAAGGTGTGGATGCGAAGATGAGGGTCAGATTAACAGCAAACAGAAGATATGCAAATTTAGTCTCAATTGCTTAGCTTCTCTTAAACACAGAGCCTCAGTCATTTCTTGTGCTAAGTTGAGTCTTTTCGTGGCATGCTAAACACAAAGATCTCTTGAATTAGCTTGAAATTTGAATAAAACGATTGGGATAGTTAACGATATATCTCTAAAGAAGTGAGGATAATATCCCTATCGGATGAGAGTAGAGAGAGAAAGAAACAAAAAATAATTGGATATATAAAAGAGTAAACAGTTTAGATCGATAATCATATAGTTTGAAGAAAATATTCGAGATGCCTCGCTTATTAAGTTCATTACTTATTGTAATATGGTGTTTTTATATTAAAATTATAACAATCGATAAAAACTTAAAGTTTTAATTTATTGTACTCTCGTCAATCCTTTTCTCTATTGTACAGCACCATTCATTTCATTAAATCTGTTATTCGATTCATTCATTTATTCATTTTTTTTTCAATAAAAATATAAAAAAAACCATTAAAAAAATTAAAACTAGTAGATTAAAAAAATTTAGATAAAAAAGAAATATTTTTTATTAATTAGTCTTGTTGCGTTTCTTTCTTGTCTTATATTCAGTAAATTATATTCATTATTGATTCGCTTTAATTCTATCATCTATGCCTTTTAAATAAGTATCTTACATGATTTTAGGTTTAAAATTGCCAAGATAATCTATCTAACAGTTATAAATGAAAGATAATCTTTCATACATTGACACGATCTTTTTCAGATCGACGTCAAGTATTTATCTATGCATAATCACCAGATTGATTACCATAAGTAAAATCATAATTTGGTGGATTATCTCCTATTTCTGTAGGTTTACCAGCTTGAATAATCATCCGTTAATATGAATAAATAGGAAGAGAAAGAAAATTTTCTGAACAAGATGATTCAAAATCACAAGAAAATAATATTTTAGATATTGAAGGATGAGGATTATCACAATAATCAATTGAAAGATCATCAAATACTAAAGGTCCATTTGAAACATTTATTCGAATAGAAAGTTTTACACGTTCAATAGGTAAAACAAATTTAATTTGAGTTCAATCTGCTTCAATTTGATTACTAGTTAGTATTTGAGTAATGATTCTCGAAAGTTGTTCATTGTCACCTTGTATTAATTGTATATTAAATGAAAGCATAGAATTCATTTTAAAATACCACATTGCAAAACAAACAACATCATCTGTCAATAATTGTAACTAATTTTTACCTTTTATTTCACTATATTTAAATTGTGGATCTATTATTAATGATTGATAAAATATATAATGACCTGCACTTGTATTTAATGTATGATCATAATCAATAGAAGTTGGATGATAACCATCAGTTAGTCTCCAATTATCATTGATCATAAAATCGCTACAAAATGATTCAAAGTCATATTGAAAATGGACATCAACGGAACTGATTAAGAAAAGAATCATAATGAACATGTTGAACATAATCAATAAGTTTTCTACAATCTTCTGATCATCTTATACAGAAAGATATTTCATAATAGTTGAGTAATAATATATTTTAAAAGATAAAAGATGATAAATATGTCGCACATAAAATTAGATAAAAATGATAGTAAGATGAAGAACAAAATATGCTCTATGTTGTTGGTTTTTTTTTCTACAAAGTATGTTAGTAAAACATAAAAAAATACATGTTTTTCTCAAAAAAACAATATGAAATAATTAAAAATGCAAACCAACTATGGAAATCATATTATTGTTTATAATTAAAAAGATTTAAGCTTTTCCATTCTCGACTATCAAAACAAATACAATGTGTACTCTCTCTACATTAATATTTTCATTTCTACTTATTCTTTTTTTGATTTATACGTTAAAAATTCTCATGAACCTAATGATCGACTTTTATTATAAAAATAAATTATCAAATGTAGACTGATCTGCTGACATCTTCAATACACCAATTTTCAATTTACACAGTTGAAGAACGATTTTATAGTAGAGAACATTATTTCTGACTGATTAATAATTGGTTTAAATATGTATTCAACGGGACGCAATTCATGAGAAATTGAATCTGATCAACCCGAGACTTTGTCACAAAGAGCTCGTTTAATTATAAATGTAAGTTGATCGACTGAGCTATCATCGATAAATATAAAAGTTTTCAGGTGTCACATCCAACAACGCTGAAGTACCATGCAGCTGTGATTGTCACCGTCAAGAACCAAAAAAAAATACTTAATTAACGTTAGTAATTGCTGTCATAACATAAAAACAGATGGTAGGATTTATTATTAAAAAGTTTCAACCGACACGATCATTTTTCACAGATGCCTTTCTCTAGTTTTTTGATCAGTATGTGTTCCACTGTAATTTTTTTTTCTTTTTAATATTTGAAAAGTTTTTAGAACTGAAAATAATTTTAAAGAATTCTACGAGAAATTTTAGTTGTTCTCTTCCTTGCTCCATCTTCCACCTCCATACTGACATGCTAATATATCTTGAATTGTCATCACCTTTCTAAGCATCGGATAATACTTCTATGCATAATTTATTGAAAGTACAGTGTTATTAACATTGACATAAGTAGTAATATAATCTATAAAGTTTTCAATTATGACCATTATTTATATAAAAATCATCAATGATTTTATATGCCTTCTATTTTTCTGATTTGATAGACATTATATCAAAAGTCTTCTGATATTTGAATGAAATTATCAAACTTATTATTCTACTATATTCAAAAGTCATTTATTTATGCGACTTTTCTCTTTCCAACCACATTGGAATTGAGTGATAGCATTACTCTGTCTAGATTTATCTTTTTTTTTTTTGAGTATTTATTTAATGATTTTAAAATAAAATACCTCGAGATACGCAATTTTGCAATTGCTTAGAACTTTCTATTAGGAGTCATCACGATAAACTAATTCAAGCGGTTCTTTTTAATCATACGTTATGACATAATATGATGCACAATGTACAAAACAGCAAAACAAGTTATTTTAAGTATTTTTTTTTAAATTATATATTTTGCTTATGCTCAAATGTTCTCCTGTTTCTCTGACTCATATGAATCAACTTTATCAAGTTGTTTTACTAAGTCATGACTCGAAATTTAAAAAAAAATCACAGGAACTACAAGTAGAAAATTTTCTGAGTATTCTATTTATACTTGTTACTTTAATGAATAGTTCAATATCATTCTACATTTTTACACTGATCGGAAAAATGTTTCAAGAAGAATTGAAACGATTATTATCTTTAGAATTAACTTGATAAATACAATAACTCCTCTTGTACGCAAGATAATTTTCATGTTTCTTCTGTACTATTGATTTATTGTCCATGCTCTACACATGCATCGAACCAATCATAGGAAACGGCTACTGTAGCTGATGAGCCTTCGTACTGGATTTGTCAAGTTTATCAGTCAGATCCAACACAGGATTTTGACTTCAACTTACGAAAGATTTATAAGTTTTAACCTACTTTTTCTTCGATTCGAACTTTTCAAATGTAATTCAATTGTATTTTTTTCTAGACATGATTAAAATACCAACGTATCATTGAAACAAATATCTATAAAAAAAAAAAATTTCAGAACATTCTAAGACGAATATAAACTTTCATGTAAATATATGTACAATTTCTTAAAAGAATTATGATTAAAATATCATTATTCTGTTTGAAATGTTATAGTGTCATTCCAGCACTGTCATTAGTCATCTGCTATTATATATTCAAATTTAACTATTAAAAATTAAAGTACACTTTTTATAAAAATAAAAAATTGTTATTTATTATTGATAATAAAATGACTACTAAGTGCTCTATTTTGTATCATCAACAAACCATTAATAATATAAAATAAAAATGAACTATGTAGAATATAAACTTATTCATAAAATAATTTTACATTCAATATGAAATATAAAGAATAGAAATTGATAAATAAAACTATACATAATCAAAACGTTTTTTTTTCCTTCATATTATCTTAGATTGGAATATTCTTTATGTAAAAACAAAAGAAAAAGACTTTCTTTGTCAGCATCAACGTCGAAACAAAAAAAACTAATAATTCAATAGTTTCGCGGCATCTGTTGATGCTTTCTACAGAATAAAATGATGGACAACACTTGATTTCCTGGGTATCGCAAGGTGTAAATGGCTGCCATATTTCTTCTAGGCACATGGTGTACTTATCTGAAGTGGTACATTGTTGACATAGAACTTCAAACATTTATTGTTTGTTTTTTTTCTGCTCATTTGAGTTAAGTTTTTGTTCCATTGGTGCTTGACGTAAAAGAATATGGCCACAGACATATTAATATCAATGAACGATAAAATTCAAGAACAAGTAACAGAAATTTATGAAAATGAATCTAATGAAAATCAACTTGCAACCAATGTGAACGAAAATAGTAAAAGCTCGATAAACACGAAGGAAGTACGAAGTTGATAATTATTTTTACTTTTTTTTTTAGATGCTGACAATATAAGTAATGAAGATGAAACTGGACCTGTTAAAGTATCGATTGGTGTTGGTCGAGATGCAAGATCAGCAATTAGAACTAAACAACAGACAATAACCACAACCATAGGTGATGAATGTGTACGTTATTTGATTGAATAAATCATTAGAAACTAACTATGATTGTTTCCTTTGAAGGAATATGTAGGTAATATATATGCTGATAAAAAACATGGCGAAGGTATTTTAACCTGGTCGGATGGTAGAATATATAAAGGTGCATTTTTTGCTGATAAACGACATGGTTTTGGTACTTTTCAAACTTCAAATCTTTTAGAGTTTAAGGTTAAATAATTTTTAACTTTACTTAAAAAGAAAATATGTGATTTTTTTTTCTTATTAGGGTCTCTATCGTAATGATGAACGATTTGGACCAGGTATTTTAATCTATAAATCCATTCAAAGTGCTGATGTAGGTTTCTGGTTAAGTGAACAACTTGTTCGTCTTCTTTATCCACATCCTATGCTTAATTTTGATATTCATATAACGGATAAAAAACCTCCAAGTGATTCGTCATGTATTATACCATCATGGTATTCACCTCAAGAATTACTTTCAACTTCTATTGATCTTGATTCTATTTTAAAAAAGAAATCAAGTGCTTTATTTTGTCAAAATATTGAAGACGAAAATTCTTCTTTAACTCGTTATATAATTGAACATTCGGATCGACTTGATGAAGCTATGCATGAAAGATATACACAAGTTGATGCTTATTTAGAAAGTTTAAATAATGATAATGATATATTAAAAGAGAAAATTTCAAATGAACGAATTGCTGATATTTCATTACCAAATGAAACATATGAACAACGACAATTATATTATTATACAAATAAATTTTGGCCATTAAAACAACGTGCAACATTTTCTATTGATGAAATTTTATCAAGTAGAAAACAAAAGAAATTTTTCAATGTTGTAAAAATTTTATTTTATTTTTTTATTTAGATACTCGTTCTTCTTTTCCAAATTCTGGTCCATTGGAAAATTCTTCATTATCTCTATTCGAATCAGCATTTAATGGTGAAATAAAAACTGTACGTGATCTTCTTATGCATCGTCAAGTTTATGTTGATGTTTGTGATTCTCGTGGTTTAACTGCTTTACATTTTGCTACATATAATATTCATATTAACGTTGTAAATCTACTTCTTGATTTTGGTGCTAATGTTAATCAATTATCAGATGATGGATTGACTTCACTTACTATTGCTTTTTTACTTTATTATGGAAATGATCCACAACAAACAATTAATATAGCTTTAGAACATGTAGATCCTATTGTTTTAACTCCAAAATCAATATCTGTAGCAGATATAAGACGATCAAATTCAAAAGATAGACTATTATTAAGTAGAGCAACAACAAATACACCAAGAAATTTAATAAGTCGAGCAAGTACAATCAATGAAGATAAATTCGTTTCTTCATCTGAATCAATTAAAATAAATGATATAGATAAGAAAAGTAAGACTTTAATGAAATATATCGAATAATTATTTACGCAAAAATATCAATAGATTCTTATGGCTATGAGTTTTCTGATAAGCTTCATGAACGTCTTCAGGATGAAAATTTTCGAGAATCTGTTTATTCTCTTATCAAGTATGTTTATATTGCCTCGAATCTCAGTTATTATATGTACAGTAGGATCAAAAATTTCTGTATACATACTTTGCCAATGAAATGTATGCATACATCAATTTTTAGATCTATAACACGTATGATCAGGATGTTGTTTTTTTTTGTTAAAGAATTTCTTTGTTAGACTTCTACTTCGTCGTGGTGCTAATCCTTCACTAAGTGATTGGCCATTACCAGTTCTTGCTCTAGCTGTTCGAGCTGGTGATAAAGATATGGTTGAATTATTATTAAAGAAAAAAGCTCAAGTTAATTGTCGATTAAATACTGTTCGTCATGCTTCTTTAACTCCATTACATATTGCTTGTGGTTGTTTATCATCAAATGCAATCGATATTGTTCGACAATTATTAGAACATGGAGCACATGTCAATGCAGAATCATTATCAGGCGGTCAAGAATATTTATCACTTGCTGATCCATCAGTTATCGATATACATAGAATAGTAAATAGTTTTTATATTTCATCAAAAAAACAAAAAAAGAAAATTCTTTAAAACAAAAAAAAAACATTTTAGAATGACTCTGTTCCACATGGCCGTACTCCTTTACATATAGCATGTACACGTGAAACAACAGAAGATACATTATCTCTAGTTCGTCTACTTCTTGAATATCATGCTAATCCAAATGTTGTATGTAATGGTCAAACACCACTTTCACTTGCTATCACTCTTGGAAATGAACGTTTAGTTGATTTACTTATCAATCATGAAACAACAGATCCATCGACTCCACTCGGACTAGGAAATGGAAATGTATTATGTACTATTTTATCAACAGTTCAAGAACCTCGATGGACTTATGCTAAACGATTAGAATTAGTATATAAAGAATCGATAAAAAAAAAGAATTTACTTAATTTATATTTTATTTGTATTTTAGATTGAACGTCTCATAGCAAAAAATCCTAAAGTTCTTTATCCTATTCGATTTGGTCCAAAACATACATTAGGATCATCAGTTGATTATGCTTATTATTCTTTTTTGGCTGTAAATATAATATTTAATATAACATTAACATAATAATGTTTTTATCTATAGGATGCTCGAATATCACAAACACCATATCATTCATTAACACCTCAAGAACGAATTATTTATAAAGAAAGAAAAGAATTACTTGCTTATATAGCTAAACGATTTCGAGAAGAAGTAACAAAACGTGAAAATTTTTTGCGTTTACCAACACCTGTAACTGGTATGTAGAATATTGATGAAATTTTATTTATTTAAATTTGTTTTTTTTTTTTAAATCTATAGAATATCCAAGTCGAACACCGAGTGTAGCTATGTTTGTACCACGTACAATTTCTCGTAGTCGATCATTTATGACAGAAAGATCAGTTGATATTACTTCAAAGTAAAAAAAAGAAACATGTATTTGATTTCTTATCTCATTTAAATATTTTAGAATAAGTAATGAATTTCATTATTGTGCTACATGTGGTCGAAGTACAGGTGTTCGACTTACACTTTGTAAACGATGTCAATTAGTATATTTTTGTTCAAAAGCATGTAAAGTAGCTGGATGGAATGCTTTTCATCGACATGAATGTCAAATAGTAAATCAAATAAGTGAAGGAGATCGACCAAGTATGATATACATTTCATTATTAAATAATATGAAAATATTTGGTTTTTTTTTTAGTTACAACGTCAAAGACAGTGTCATCGAAAAATAAAGTATGTTTTTAATTTCTTAAGCTTTTTTCTTTTTTTATTCTTCTGTTTCATTATTAATACATATGAAATAAAAATCAATTATAGTTACCGAGTCTTCGTCCTAGTACTCAACAAACTGATCTTACACAATTTCAAAGTGCTATTAACAGTGGAACACGTGCTGAGGTTTATGATACTCCATTTTCAAAACTTTGTCTATTGTTTTTTTCACGAGATTGGTTTTTGTTTTTTTGTTTTTGTCACAAAACTATTTTATGCATGAGAATTTTGATTGAGATTTTGTTAAGATTAAGAAATATTATTTTGAATATTTTGTTTTAGAATTACACAGCTTTGGATGGTGCTTTATTCAAAGAAAATGTTTTATCTATTAAAACTCCACCACATATAACCAATAATAGCCGATTACCAAGTCTTTCAGTGTCAAAATTAATACGTCAAAAACGATTGAAAAAAGTGGGAAAATCAGGTGAAAATTTACCACCAACATTACCAGCTTATTTGGAAGGTATTCATTTATCATGGAATAGTATGTATAATGCTCCGGAAAATTATAGTTTTAATTGAACTATCATGGGCCTTATTTTTCACCTCATTGATCACTTAGTGCCTTATTAGTTATTGCACCGGTGCTTAAAAGATTATTATTATCTTCCTTTTTTTTCTAAAGTGTGAAATTTTCAATTGAAAAATAAATTACCAAAAAAAAAAAACATTGTGTTTTTGCATATAATTAAATTTGTTTTAAAAGAGAATAATTGATTATACGGAGATATATTTTATTTTCATATATAAGAACATAATAAATCAACAGTTATTTCTATTGTGTTTTCAAACTTTGATTTATTTTATTTTCTCTTGATTTTATTTTTAAAAAAAATGAAAGATACGTATGGCAATGACGAAAGAAATGATCGAATACTACACATCAAATTCAAAGTAAAGAAAATTAAGTTTCAAAGAAATAGATAATTCAAAAAAAAAACAAAACTGATATTTAACGTAATGACAGACAAATACTATTCCTATGCAGCAAATTTCATTGCTATTTTCTATTCAACTTTCTATTACATCCAAACAATAGATTGTTTTAATTTCAAAATTATAGATATTATAGCATATATTATTTTAAGCTTGGTCAATATCATCCAAGAGTAAGTAATCAAATCAATCTTCTAATCTATTTTTAAAGATTTAAATACTTTACTAGATAATCTACGATGCATTAGGAAATTATTTTTCGAAGAACAATGATAAACAAGGCTTCGAAAAAAAATTTATGGATTTATAATTAATTGAGTAAAATTCACTCTATGATCGGAAACAGCCCAAAGTCAATAATTTTAATGATATCATGCTCTAATACATGGAGAGTTATATCTAACTAAAGACATAAGAAATAAAATGAAAACTTTTGTTATTTCAGACAACTATTGATTAGATTCTGTTTATATACGTGAAGATCGACATTATAATTTGTATACCCTTCTAATCTATTGTTTTCTTCACTATTTCCTTTTACGGTCTAATTATTAAGTGACGATATGCAGGTTAACGAGGGAAACTGTTTCAGGTGGTAAATCAATTTTGATTTCGGACTCTATACATAAAGTAGATCCCAGTGAGATATGAAACGTCTCAAAAGGATAAATACTTTTAGACCTTCCATATAGAATTATAACTATTTTATTGAAATTTTAGGCTATGGCACGATATGTACCAATAAATTGAATGACGGCATTTTGATTTGAAATTTCGTCCACAGATAGATTGATTTCTGAATAGCATGTTCTGAAAATTTCAGCTCAAAAGAATGTTTTCTTCGCGAGATATTGAATTTCCAAATATTTAAGATTCTCACACCGTTTGCAGGAAATGAGTCATTTCTCAGAAATTCAATATCTTGTGAAAGAAACATTATTTTCACCCAAAATTCTCAGAACATTCTAGTCACAATTATATCTATCTATGACTGGAATTTCAGATCGAAATATCGTCATTCAATTTGTTGGTACATATCGTGTCATAGTCTAAAATTCAAATAAAATGGTAATAACTTTCGAAGAAAGATCTAAGGAGACTTATCCTTTTAGAACAATTCATATCTCAATCTGAGGTCTATCTTATGCATACAGTTCGAACTCAAAAAAGATTTATCATTTAAAACGGTTTCTTAGTGCAATCAGTAAATAAACAGTCTGATTAGCGCTTTCTCTTCTAGTGAACATAAGTAGATCAAATTTTTTTTTTCTTCTCCCACTCCTGTTATCAGGATTCAATCAATTATCGAAGATTCAATTTGAAATAACTCTACGTGTTTAATAATTTTCAATTTCATCTGATCTTTTTTATATAGACATGTATGTCATTTTAACCATATATATGAGTACAATGATAATTGGATATTGTTATATCTGGGCAAAGCATTGCAAAGTTATATGGTAAGATGAATTTTCTACTCATATATCATCTATTCATTATTAATACTCAACAGAGACGCTCTCAATGTTGGATCTTCAAAAAAAAAATCAACGAAGAAAAAAAAAAGGAATTCAATATTGTGTGTCTTAATGCTTTATAGAATTAGACAGTAAGATAAGTCTTCTCTTCGTTAATCATATAATTAATATTCTCATCCAAAATAGACCTTACTAGTATTAATTCATCATAAATTCATTAATCATATTTAATACAGATGGACATCAAATTTAATATTGCCTAGTAGATAGTATTATATTGAACGTAGCTTTGTGTTTTTTTTTCTTTCGTAAAAATAAATCTCTCAGGAATTCATTGACAATCTTTTTTGTTTTTCTAAATGAATGCACTGTGTTATATCATTCATGGAAAATCATGCACGAAGAGAGAATAAAATATTAAATGGAACAAAATATTAGATAAAGCCCTCGATATATTAGAAGACCTGGAGACATTCATTTTTTCTTATCATTTACAGATTACATTGAAACCTTCTATTCTATGCCTCGAAAAACACATATGGTATGATAATTTCAAGGACAGGTCCCAATTTTAACCTTTTTTCTTTTTCATTTCAACGTTACTAAATGAGCTTATTTTAATTATACGACGCTTGTATAATGGAACCAAAACGGATAATATTTTAGTGCAAAAAAAAAAAACACAAGAAAATAGTCATTAGTAAGAAGAATGTTCTTGGAACAATCTAAAAGATTGATACGATTTATAATACCATTACTTTTTTCTCAAGAATAGGATCAGTTTTTGCATAACATTTTTATCGTTTCATATAGCTAAACAGCTGAGAGAAGGAAAATTAAAATTTTCTCAATCAATGCTATTTAAATCAGATCATTATATGCAGAGGTTCAATTAGTGTAGATCGAATCGATTCAAAATGAAGTTTACTATGATCTTTGCTAGTAGTCCGTAATTCACTCGAATGATTATAATGATCTATGAAGAAACAATTTCTAGAAGAACAAATTGTTTAAAACCATGTTGAAGATGTTTTTAGGATCCTGTGCAACTGTTTTGAAAAATATCTTTTAATCTTTTTGAGAAAAAAACGATAGAAAATGTACTTTATAGAATATATTTCAATGCTTGTTCACAGAAATATATTTTCTTTTCAGTTAGAAACGTGCTCTTCCATGTCATGAACATATTACAATTGCTACGTAGAAGTATACTGACACAGCGTGGCTTTAACTAATAGATAAAGAGATTTAACTGAATAAGTTCCAATTGGTGAAAGATCTTTTCATAAGTGTTGTTTTTAGAAGCGCATACTGAATGGCTGATGTCTAATTATAGTAAGAGCGAATTTTTTCCCATAGGAAACCTAAACAATATCTTCAAAATGTAGTGTAAAAAAAACATGGAAGTACTACGAGGTATAGTTTTACTAAAGAAACGTCTTTTTTAATTAATTATTGTTTTTTTCTTTTTTATTAGCTTTTTCTTATGAATTATCTCATTGAGAGATGATATTAGGCTAAGATACATAAAGCAAAATACTGTTCATGATAAATTTTCATATTAACCTTTACATGTACTCTAAAATAGGTCAATAAACTACGGGAATTATTTAAAAAAAATTGATTATCAAAGGGAGCCCATTAGCCTATCTTTTCCATTCTTGTATTCAAGAGAAAGATCTTCTATTATGAATAAATTTTCTAATTACATCAAAGAATTTATTTTTAGAAAAATAAAATAAGACTTTTAATTTGAAAGAAATGTGTGTTGTGCATCACATTTTTTTTTTATTGAATGCAAAAAAAAAAAAACGTCCATTTAGAGTTTGTGTAACAAATAAAATAATGAACAGATAGTATTATATCATTTAAAAATAACAAAAATTTATACTTCTTTTCAATTGATTGAATTTATAAAATTCTTAATTTTATTTTTGAAGAAAAACTTATTCACATTAAATTTAAACTTTAACGATATATACACTCATATTATCTGTACTTCGTCTACGTAAACATTCTTCTAATAATTGCGATGCAATATCTTCTAATTTATATGTTGATGCTCGATGTATAATGAATAAAGCAACATCTTCATTTGTCATCACATCCCAAATTCCATCACATGCAAGAACAATAAATGATGCTAGAGAATTTCTTGAATATTCAACAATATCTGCCATAGGTGGAACAATATGTTTATCCATAGCAAAATCTCCTAATACACGAGTCATAGCTAATTGATTTTCTACACGTAAAACACCACCAATACATGATTTAGATATTTTACCACCAGCTTCATGAATACGTTCTTGTTCAGCGGGATCCTCGGGTTTATGATCTAATTTTATTTCATAGACAAAAAAAAAAAAAATAACCTAAATCTAAATAAATAAAATTTACCTTCTGTATGTGCTAAAACATGACCATCATTAGAAATAATAATAGCACGAGAATCACCAATATTAATTAAATATATTTTCTCGGGACTAATAAGACATGTTATCTAAATATTTTGAATATTTCTTTTTTAGAACAAAAAAAAAAAATTGATAATATTTAAAACTTACACATACACAACCACTCTCATCTTTAAGTACTTTTCTTAAATATTTATCTAATTCAAAATATGTTTGTTTAATAGCATCATGTATATGATCAAGATCAAGTTGTGATGAACCACGAGATTCATCAGATGATTGTTCACTTTTATGTTTCTTATCAGACATGTGATAAAGTGTATTTAATAAATGAATATCAAGTTGTTCCGATGCAGTTTTTGCTGTATCAACACCTTCAAAGAATATACTATGTTTCTTTCTTATTAAATATTTCTTTATTTTTTTTTATTCTTACCATTATGACCATCAAAAATGGCAAAATATGACCAGGATTTCCATGAATGTTTATCCAATGGTATTAAATGTTTATGTCGATCTTCCATAGTTGATCGCCATCCTTGCATTGAACCAAAAGCAAATGTGGAATCATGAATTAATACTTTTTCTACATTCGGCTTATCCAAAAAGAATTTAGCTAATTCATCGTGTTCATTTTTATGATTAGAATCATGATTATGATGACGACGACGAAAATGAAATATACGTCTTGTTCTATGACCATCACGATTTCGACCAAAAAGAGCTTCAATACCGGCTTGTAGCATTTCTAACTGTGGATATGTAATCTATTTTGCCCTCAGACACTTTCTTTTTTTTCTTCTTTACTTTTATATTAATTGAAGCTTTTTTTGGTATTAGAAATCTTCACTATGCTTGTTTCAGTATTCCGTATGTTTCTTTGCCACGTTGTTTTTTTCTTTTTTTTTTCTGCTACTTACGATGGATTAGTAGAGAATGCAAAAAAAAAAACTACTGACAAGTTATATCATAAATAGAAAAAAAAAAACTCACTTCTTTTTATTCTCTATAGTTAGATTTATTTAGTTTGTTCTTTCTCATTCTTTTTTTTTATGTCAATGAAAATAGTTGAGTTGTTATTCTAATCATTAATTTAATAGATAGCTTATCTCTTTGTTCGGTAAATATACATTATGCAGAAGAACAAAATATCATCTCTACTTGTATAATATTGATCGTTAGAAAAAAAAATATCGCAAAATATTTTCATTCTACTAACAATTCAAAATAATAAACATGATAAGATCATATTGAAGTGATTAAATATATAGATGGTTAATCTGTATCAAATGCAAATAAATCTATTAATTTGTCCATGATCTTCATGATCATTATTTGTTTAGTCAACAATCTAATTTAGTTGTGTCTCAATTACAGTTAATCTACGTGCTATTTTTTTGTGTGACAGGCTTTGAAGTTATTACTTTAGTATATATTATTGATAGACAGTGTTCGTGGCAGTTTTAATCTAATAAAATTCTTATATTTGAAGATGACAGCACGCATTCTCTGCTGTCTGCTTGTTATAAAATACTTAGAACATAGTAAAATAACTAATGCAATTATTGAGATACAAGGTACTTCTTCAATATATTTATTTCGTATTGAAAGAACATTTTTATCAAATTAATGACTGTCTGTGTTTAAATATTCTGTTTCTATAAAACAATAAGTATTGTTGATTACTCTTAATTCTTTATTAGATCATAGAAAGAAAATCTAATATATAAAAGCTGAAATATATAAATATATCTATTCGAACAAATTTAAAATTTGATAAAATAATTATTTAAAAAGAAAAAAAGAAAAAAAGAATAAAAATAGAATTTATTCTTCATCAGCTATTTTAAGAATTAATTTTCCTTGTGCTTTACCACTCTTTGATTTTTCATAAAGTAAATGCAATGCTTCAACACCATCCTTTCGCCAATCATAGACAGTATCAATTAATGGTTTAACTTTGTCTGTTTCAATATAATTTGTTCGTATATCATCAAGATCTTCTGGTGTTTGACTGAGAAAATGCAATATATAACCATGATGAGTTGAACTAAAAACTGACCAAAATTTACGATTTATTATACTTGAACCAATTGTAGCAATCGATTTTAATGAAACAACTGATTTTGTATCATCACCAACAATAGTAATAAATTGACCACCTTGTTTCAATATTTGTTGTGCTGATATCCATTGTTGTTCACCACCAACACAATCATAAACAACATCATAATTTTGACCTTCAAAAAAAAAAAACAAAATAAAAAGAAATAATAACATATGAAAAATTAAATCTAATAACAATATTTACCTTTGAGTTCTTGTCCAAAATCTTTCTCATTATAATCAATAACAAGTAGTTGTTGTTGTTGATCATTATTTATTTCGTCTTTATTTTCTGTTATTGTATAACCTATAAAAAACAAAAATATTCAACAATGATTGACAACTAAATGAATTTAAGCAAACCAAGTTTTTTTAAAAGCTGAAAATTTCTTTGTGAACATGTTGTTGCAACTTGAGCACCAACAGCTTTTGCTAATTGAATAGCAAAAAAACCTGTTGCTGTACTACCACCACAAATGAAAATTTTACTTCCTGCTCCAACAGGAGGTGAAATTTTATTAAATAATGCTTGATAACTTGTTTCACATGCTAATGGTACAGCAGCTGCTTCTTCCATTGTTAAATTCTTTGGTTTTAATGCAAACATTGATTCATTTCCACAAGCATATTCAGCATAACCACCAGCATAAACTCCAAGATTTCCATAGACTTTATCACCGATTTGAAAACGTTTTACTCCTGAACCAATATCGACAACAACACCAGCAACATCCGCACCTGGTATATGAGGAAATGAAGGATGAATTACAAGAGATAAATTTCCATTTAATAATTTCCAATCAACTGGATTAATTGAAGCAGCATGAACTCGAACAAGAATTTGTTTAGCTGATAATTTTCGAGGTACTGGTACATCGTCACGAAGTGTTAGAACATTACGTATTTCTCCACAATTACTTTGTTGAGCAGCTTTCATTACCGAAGGAATACTACTAGTTGAAGTTGTTGATTCAGCCATATTCGTATAAACAATATTCGATGTAGAAATATTCAATTATAATATTATTTTTCTTATTTAATCTGTAATATATTTATGTTTTTTGTAAAACTTATACAAAAAAAAAATTGTAAATAAAAAGAGAAAAACAAAACGAAAAATAAAGGTCAAAGTATTAATTGGTTTCAATGTAGATGTGCCTACATATGGATGTGACAAATATTTATCGAGCAAAGTGCGTAATAAATGTGATTCATAAGCGCATATTTTTTGGTTAAAAGTATCTCTTATCACGAGTGTGTACTATGCATCAAATGAAATTGATATAATGAATTTAGTTCAAATTTTCGAATAGTCGACATCAACATGTACTTCAGTAGTCTAAACAGATCATATACAGCTTTTCTATTTCAAATTTTGATTATTCATGTAATACTGATACATGAAATAAAACCTTAATGAAACTAAAAACAATTGAAAATATTTTTATATGCAAACACTTCGATAAGAAAAACGAGAAACCAATGTGAATTAAAGATTAACTATTGGGACTATTCTGCGTAACAGAATCTATTTCGAATATATGTATAATTTAAAATCATTTTCATTTTCATTTTTCTTTAAAATAAAAAACAAAGACTTTATTTTTAATTAGAATTCTTCAAAAAAAAAGACAAGTAAAAATTTGGCGAAAATTACAATCATTGCATTATTCTTATACTAGTTAAAATATGCAAAATAATTAAAAAAAATCTACTTTAAATTCAATATGAAAGAAAGACAAATAAAAAAATTTCTGATTGCACTTAATTCACAAATAAAAGAAAAAAAAACTTATCACATAAATTTTGTTAGAATCTATTATTTAACATGTCTTCTTTGTGTCCAATAAAGAATAGCACTTGTAATAAAAGTTGCAACTAAAGTCGAAGCAAAAAATGCAGCTGTCGGAAATTTTCCACTTCGTAAACATTTATAACCATGATAACCATGTTTACATAAACATAAAAAATGATGAGGTCCATTTGCACTACAATATGAACCGTTTTCATCACACATATCTGTTGAATTTGAACAAAAATCTTTTTGATGTAAACAACGATTTCCTACTGGATCAGTTGTTTTATCAATTACTTCCCATACATCATGTCCACCTGGACAATCAAATTGTTCAGGTAAAATAAGATAATCAAGATATTTCAATGTGAGAAAATCATCTGGTGAAGGTACAAGTTGAGGATTTGAACGAAGATCAACAACGCTTAAATTAAAATTTTCAAAGTGTGCAAAATCAGGAGTTGCAGTTAAATTAGAGTCCATTAAATCAACAGCTATGAATGATTCATTATCACTTGAACGACAACATCGAAAAATTAGGTAACCATCTTGAGAATTACAATAATCAATAACAGGTTGACTGGTTACATTTTTACCAGCACATAAACTACCGTCTTCTAATTGAACATTACCAATAAAATTTCCAACAATAAACAATATACTATACACAATAAAAATCATGATCTGAAATAGAAATATTTGAATACATTTGCAAAGAATAAATCAGTATTTTATTTCAAAATATACATCAAATAATACTTTTACATAAAACTGATTTACTCTAATAATAAATGCAATGAATGATTTGGCTTTTGTTTTTGATTTTGAATTTTTATACAACTGTATACAACAATAATAAGAAAAGTCGAGTCACAACAAACAAACAAACAAAAAAAATTATGATTATTATCGAAATAGATAAGATAGAACAGAAAATAAATTAAATCAAGAGAAAGCTTTGCATTTTATTTTGATTTGCGTCAGTATTTAAGGATGTGTTCGATATAACATAAAGATACAGAGCAAATCATCAATATCGAGGACTAGAATTTCTAAGAGAAATAAGGAATTCTTAAGCATCATCATTAATTAATAACATATCTTTTTCTGCATCTTTTTTTGTTAATATTTTTGGTATTAATTTATTAGGAAAATTTTGTAGAATACTAGTAGGATTTTGAACTGAAGTTTCAATAGGTAATGTTGCTGGTCCATCATTCGATGTTGCATATGAATTTCCATTTGATGATGAAACAACTGTTGATCGATCATCGGTTGTCTGAAGAAAAAGAAAATCATTATTGAAAATAAATAATAGGAATATGACAAAAAAAAAACAGTGAAAATAAAAAGCATTAATCCAAGGAGAAGTTATTGCTGGCACCAGAAAGAAAAGAAAAGCCTAGATATACCCGAGGAAGCTGGAAAATCACAGAAGGTAGTTCTGTGTCCAGATGAACTGCCTGAGAGATAGATAGATTTATTTATTTATTTACATATACAAACTGATAAATAGAAAAAAAGACCTTACTTGTGCATTATATTGTGTGTAATCTCTATATTGTGGATGGAAATTATGAATTGCATCTAAAAACAAAAATGGATTATGAAGAATTTTCTTGTCCAAAAAAAAAGCTTATTATTTTTTTTCTTTACCATGCATAATATCTTTTGGATTCATTGTTTCTTTAAGATTATTTGAAATACTTTGCATTGTTACTATTCGTCCACTAACACCCGTTGTTTCTCCTTGACAAGAATTTGTTATTGATGAGGGAAGATAATTGTCATGTATCATATAAGGCTCATGTGGAAAGGCAAAACGTAAAGCAATAGCAGCTAAACACATTTCAATACAAACAAAAAAGTTTTGCCAACCTTTTTAAAAATAAAAAATAATTTCAAATGAAAAACTCAAAATTACAACAAATTACCAGCAGCAACAGTACCAACACTTAAATTTGTTTTTCCTTGAAATGCTTGAATAATTCCAAATTCTTCAAATATAGCCAAGAGTACTCCTAAAATAAAATTCATTTTTTTTCTCTTCTATTTTCATTACACATAAAAATTCAATTTTACCTTGCCAAAATGTTAAAAAAATAACTGATTTAACTGTTAAAAATTTCAAAACAGGATCATATTTAGCTAAAATATGTTTTGTTGCTTCATAAAATAAAAATAAGCCGTAAAGTGCAAGTGATATAGTAACATTATAAATTAATGTTATATAAAGATAACCACCCGTTGTCGAAAAATCTCCATCTTTATATTTATCAAATGCTTGTAAAATAAGTATAACTACAGACATTAAAGGTTTTACCAAACAAAATTGAAGTGTTGCCTAGAACAAAGAAAAAAGATCGTTAAATTAAAACTTTTTCTTTTCATTGTTTTTACCTGTTTACAAAATCTTAAAAATCCAATTGTATATTCTTGGTTTGACAAACAACATGTACATGTCCGCCAACTTCGGCTAGCAACAAAAAAGAATTCATTTATTTTAAATAATTTAAATTTCATAACTTACTCAATATGTTTGCCACGAATTTCTGCCATAATAGCACCTTCACCACCCAAATATTCATAGCAAAGTGATAGAAAACTATAGATGACAAAAGCTAAAAAAAATAAAGAATGTTTAGTTTTTTTTTTGTTTTCTTTAATAAAACGAACCTTCATAACAATCTCGAATAGCATGAAAATAGACATAATATGAATCATTTGTAAAAAGAATTAAACTAAGCCATGATACAAATGAATAAATAGGTACTATGAATAAAAGACGAACAATCCATTTTTGTTCGGATGGAACATTATAATGACGTAAATGAAGATAAATCTAAATAACAAATAAATAAATAAACTAGTTGTTGTTTTTTTTTTCTTTTGTTTTTTTACATGATAACCAGTGATAAGAATCGCTGCCCAAGTAAATGCTCCAGCAATAGCTTGACAAGCTACTGTATGTAAAAATAAACGATCATTATAGACAATTGTTGTTGTTTGAGATATTGTCGATGATTGAGTACTTGTATATATAGAAGAATTATTCGACATTATCGATAAAGTGAACTCGAGTTACTTTTATTGTTTATCTAAAATAACGAAAATTCGTATCTAAATGAATCATTGTTCAAACTAATGTTGCAATTGAATAAGTTTCGAATGTATAATGGTTTTTTTTTCTATGTACATAGTAACACAAGAAGCGACAGTCTGATAAAATCAATTAAAAAATCAATAAATAAGCAAACAATAACAAATCATTCGTTTCTTTGTTAATCACTAATGAAATAACAAAATTTTTTTTTCTTTTCTTCTTCTCTTTCGTTGATTTATTATACTTAATTTTGTTGGTTCTACCATTTTGTTTTTATTGCCTCCATCATGATGCTCATTGCAAAAACATAAAAATAGCTATTTACCTCCAAAAACAAAAATAATAGAAATTAAATATTGTTTTTGTGTATAATATTGTTTTTTTTTGAAAATGTCTTCACCATTATTAAACCTATGATCACCATGGTAATCAAATTCATATGTTGATTAACACAGTTACTGTCAGAAATATTTTCAAGAAGAAAAAAAACAACAACTAAGACCATGCCGGTTCAAAGACAAGTATGTAACTGTCATTTGAATTCTAACTAGTTGATGTTTTTACTCAGAATGCAAATGATCAATCATCGACAAATAGTTTTCTTCAACAAATCTTTGAAAGTCGTACGAAAGTAAGTTATATAATAATCTTTAAAAATTGATTTTTATTTTGTTTTAAAAAACAAAAAAGAATGAAATTGATGAAAATGATTTACTTATTTTACTTAATGATACGGAATTATCTCGTTCATTTGATCGACATTCAAAATTCACTATTGATCATTGCAAATTATTAATAGCAGCTGTTGTTCATGTAAGATTCTTTTTTTGAATTAATAAATTTTAATTTTTTATAATTTATTTTAGTCGAAAAGTACATTAAATTTACCAGAATTTGTTTCTGTAATAAATCTTCTTTATACATGGAGAAATTTTTTTCGTCGTCATGATCTTGATCGAAATGGTATTATTGAACCATATGCTCTTGTTAATATACTTAATTCTTTACGTAAATAGAATAAATTTGATTTCTTATTGATTATTTTTCTTTTCTTTAATTTATATTTAATAGGATTTAATTTATCACCATCAACACTTGAAACAATTGTAAAACGATATTCAACACGTGCAGATGATAATTCATCGGGAAAAATCTCATTTGAACATTATGTTCAATTATGTGCTCGATTAACTTTACTCAATGGTATGTTTGAACAAAAACAAAAAAGACACAAGAGAGAAAATAATCAAAATCTTATTGTAGATTTAATGCAACAAAAATCAACAAATGATTCACCAAGAAATGTTTGTTCATTTTCAATCGATGAAGTTCGTTAACAGAATTTATCATATGTTTTATCATAAAAGGTTTTTATTGAATTCTAGTTTATGCAATTGGCACTTAGTCTATAAGAATTGACATTTTTATGTACAAGAGAAAACAAACGTCGACATATCAAAAGCAACTGTGATATGAATAATCTCATTTTTATGTGTGTGCATGATTTTCTTTTTCTATATGAAAATATAGTTTTATTCTCTTTGAATATTTAGAAGAAAAAAGAAATTTTGCTTTAAACTTAAACATCATCTAGAAAAAGAATGCAATTATAATATGAAAACAATTAATGAAAATTCAATTCTTTTTCTTTATTTATGATGAAAAATACGAAAGTTTCAATCAGATCTCTAGCTTCATAGATATTATTATTACACGAGAATGTTCATTATTAATGAGAGAAGATCCGTTGCTGATTCACTTCATTTTCAATTACATCTTGTCGATATTATTGAGAAGTGAGATGAGAGTAATTTCATTTCTTAAAAATTCAACATTATCAGAACGAAACATTTCTTTCGACTGGAACTTTAAGAGTGAACAAATAACTACAAGTACTATAGATTATAGGAGTAAAATTTCAGATTGAAATTCTGCTGTTCAATTTTTTTCTATAAATGTTTTGTCACAGCTTGACAAATTAGTAAAGTGACTGTAATCTTCGAAGAGAACTTCGTCAACACCGATTCTTGTAGAAGTTTTTTAGAATTATATCTCGAATACATGAAAAAAAAAATTACTAAAAAAAACATGGATCAATTAGAGATCTACCTTCATAAGTGATATAATACTAAAAATAAGTTATTGTATTAATAACAGTAATAGCTCACCTTCTTGATGAAGTAAGACAATAAAGGATATATTTGTTGTATTATTCATTTATACGAAAGTAAATAAATTAACAATCATAAGAACTTTTATAAAACTCATAGTTGTATGAGTATGTACTTACATAAATCATTAAACACGTCAATACAGGAAATAATTTCCTTTTTAACGCATCTTTTTTTTATCAAAAGAAAATATGTCACTCAGATGATTTAGTGTCAAGTAGATCTTTCATGTTACTATCTTTATAGATGAGATTCTAATTAGTACTGCGCTAGATACTGTCTGCTTACATGTTTGTTTACTCATTGCACTATCTGATGCATTTAATTTTTCTGTGTATTGCAGCGTATTCATGGTTTTATTGCATGATTGTTTACTTGAGAAATAATGAATAATATTATATAAATTATATTCATGAACTAAATTTTGTATTTCTGTTTTTTATTTTATCGCATCCTTTGAGAAATGGGAAACTGATTATAGAATGCAGATCAGATGAAATAATAGCTTTATCATTATCTAATCTCAAATATTAATAACAATATTCAAATATTTCTGATTCTTTATTATTCTAGTGTAAAATAAAGAAATATTTTGATAACAAGAAAAAAATATTTTATTGCTGATACTTACCAAAATAATCAATGCATTGAACAGTTCATTAGTTATGCAATCGAAATAGAATGCTCAAGGACAAATTCTTTAGTATCTCTCTTGAGAATCATGAATTTCAAATAAAATATTTTGATTATTAATCTCTCGTGTTTTATCATGAGACTTCTAAAAAATTTACTATTGATACAAAATTTACTTGAAAAAATAATAAGATATTGTGCTGTTACACATATTCAAGTACATATAGTGAACTTGCTTTTATTTAGAAATAAATGTGGAAACATCGAATTTAAATCCGAATGTTATGTGTACTTCAAAAAGTGAACTGGACTGATGAGTCATCCTAGCACGCATAAACATCAGAATTATTCTAGCGAGCTTCCAGGAGCCGCCGAACCGGGGGGCGTGGGGGGGGGGGGGGGACATCCCCAATAATGGGAAATTTTCAACTTTTTTCAATGATAGAAATGAATTTTTTGGACTTTCTATCATATTTTTATGAGGTTTTGTTGCAAAAAGTACCTATACACCTCCCCCCCCCAATCTTCGTACCCTCGCGCGGCCTCTGCGAGCCCTTTCTATTAAAACTTGATTTATATTGGTTACTGCCCAACCAATAGGGTTTCGAGGCAAGTGGAGCTCAGATTCGAGTTCCCCGCCCTAGCAAACCTCGAAGTATCATCTCTGTGATCGGAAGATGGAGCTTTACTTTTCGATCAATTGGAGCATAGACAAAAACAGAACCGATTTCTGTTTAAGTATCTTTGCAATAGATGAATTAGCCTTCTTGTTTCTTAATGTTTTATATAGTATTTTGTAGCTCGTGAAGTTCTCTATTGAATGGTATGTAATAGTTGGGGTTTTGTTTGATTATAAGAGGAAAAGTTTTTTACGAAAACCAGAATAGGTAAATGTTCACATAGAAAAGCATAGGAAACTATGACTCTTTTTGCGATAAGTCACCAATGGCTCGACGAATCATTCTCATCTTCGAATTCGACCGAGATATTGATGAGACGAAACTATGTAGAAAATTTCATCGCGATCGGACTCTCCCTTCAAAAGTTATCGTGTAAACAGTCGGACGGACACACTGACCGATTCTAGAGTGTACGCACTTTTCGAGTACACAAAAAGAAATTCGAGTAAAACATGGAGAATATGTATTAAATATTCTTGTACCTGCTGGTGTAAATAAAGTGTTGGATGTGGATGTGGGTGCTTCTCCTTTACTTACTCTTACACCCACACCCACACCCATGTTATTTTAACATTTGCTAACAGTTTTTGAAAATCAAAAAAACATTTTTAATTGAATAAAAACACCTTTCGCATGTTTCTAATTACAGAAAAACGTTTTTTGGAGTCTCAGGTGCCAATAAGGAGTTTATTTGATAAATATGGCATTTGATAAATAATTAATTTGTGTGATAAAGTATAATATAAATATTAAAAAAAAATTTCAAAAATTCAAAACGCAAAATTTATTATGACTGTGTTTTTCGTCAAAAACGCTTATGAATTCCAGTCTTATTGGTTATTTTTCATCAGCTAATGTGAAATATTTTTTAGAAAATTATGAACTCTAGGAAAATATATGTCGAACATAAATCACTCTATTAAGGTAGTTGAATGAAAGAGACATTTGTAAATTAATTTTTGAAGAAGTTTTATGAAATAAAAATTAATCTCACCACTTGAAACTGTTATTCTGCTAGACTTACTTCTATTGGAACATTCAATGTTATGCTTCCGGTGTGTTGCTTTTCTCGAGTACTCGAAACTTCAATGAGTATCGAGGGATCTAAAATTGCTTGAAGAGTCGAAAATGAATGTTCAATACGACACAGTTTTCGAGTGGTTGGAATCCGATGGCCGCCGAGGGACTCGAAATCGGAACAGACCGAACAAAAAATATATATTTCAGACTTTCGAGCGCTCATCGCATACTTTTTAAAGTCTGCTTGGGAAAGTGCTTGTTCACTACTTGAGAAAGTGAGTCATGAAAAAGACTTTACCTCTTGAGCTATCCATCTACCAGGTGAAAAAAGCTGCAAATAGTAATAGTTGTCTTTATTACGTAAACAATTTGTTTTGAGTCGTATTTTCAACATTTTTCTTGCGATCCTAATTTCCAGCTAGATTTCTTTGAGATATAATGTCTTCTTCGTTA